GTCCTCTCCATGCAGGCTGGGGCTGGGGAGACATCTGTGAGTTTAAGGGTGCATCTCTGAGTGTGTGTGTGTGTGAGTCTGTGACGCTGGGAATGTGTGTGAGTGTGCATATGCTGAGAGCATGTTTACTCTCGCCCTCTGTGGTGTGACGTCCACTCAGCAAAGAGGTGCAAACCTGCCCCCCCAGAGTGTGAATCACAGACACCCTCTTATCACCCAGCCCCTCCGCTGGGAATCTTAGGGCAGAAACTCCCAAGCTCAGGGGCGGGGCCTCCCTGGACAGACTCTTTTTGCAGTGTGTATTTGCCTCTGCGGCTGCTTTGGGTACACACACACACACACACACCATGTCCACCACGCCAAAGCTACCTTCCAGGCCCTTCCATGGCCTGCCCTGGTTTTGTTTTGTTTTGTTTGAGATGGAGTCTCACTCTGTCGCCTAGGCTGGAATGCAGTGGTATGATTGTGGCTCACTGCAACCTCTGTCTCCCAGGTTCAAACAATTCTCCTGCCTTGGCGTCCCAAGCAGCTGGGATTACAGGTGTGCGCCACCACGCCTGGCTAATTATTTTGTGTTTTTAGTAGAGACGGGGTTTCACTTTGTTGCCCAGGCTGGTCTCGAACTCCTGACCTCAAATGATCAAACCGCCTTGGCTTTCCAAAGTGCTGGGATTACAGGAATGAGCCACCATGCCTGGTCCCTGCCCTGGTTCTCGTTTTGTGTTGTTTTGAGATGAAGTCTCACTATATTGCCCAGGCTGCTCTCAAGCTCCCAGGTTCAAGCAATTCTCCTGCCTCAGCCTCCCAAAATGTTGGAATTCCAGGTGTAAGCCACCTCACCCTGCCACCTGCCCTGGTTCTAAACTCACAGCTACAACTGCTCCCACCAACCAGGCCCTCCTACCCCTGGGACCCCCCTCTACCTCCAGCCTGGAGGGAAATTCCAGGCCTCCCTGGAGCTTATGAAGGGGAAGAAACCCAGGAGGGTTTTTTCTGTGACTCAGTGTCCTCCACTCACCTTATTATGGGGACAAGATCCCAGAGAGTCAGGGTTAAAAGGCCATTTGCTCTACAAGTAGGAAAGCTGTCCCAGAGGTAGGTGTGCCTCATCCGTGGTCACACAGAGGGGCAGGGCTGAGCCAGAACATGAGCCCAGAAGTCCCAGGTCCCAGGCCAGCTCCTTCCATATCGCTCAAACCTAATATCAACCCTTCACACTTTAGTAAAAAATAGTGTAACTCAAAAGCAGAACTCTAAGACATGAGGAGGACATAGGCCAGGTTAGATCTGATGGAAGGGAAAGAGCTGGCCCAGAGGGCAGCAAGTAGGGGGCCCAGCCCCCACCTATAACCCTAGCACTTTGGGAGGCCAAGGCAGGTGGATCACTTGAGCCCAGGAGTTTGAGACCAGCCTGAGCAACATGGCAAGACCCCGTCTCTACTAAAAATCCAAAAATCAGCTGGGCATGGTGGCGCACGCCTGTTGTCCCAGCGACTCTGGAGTCTGGGGTGGGAGGATCACCTGAGCCTGGAGAGGCTGGGGCTGCGGCACGCTAAGATTGAGCCCCACCCTAAGCCTGGGGGCTCAGGATACTCACTGCTGTCAGCCAGGACAAAGCTGCCACACTCCTGGGAGTAGTTGCCAGACTGATCTGTGATGTTGACACTGAAAATGTCATCGGCCATGAAGTGGAACACATCCATGTGGCAGGTATACGTGGCATGCGTGGCATTGTGGGCCGACCTGTGGAGGCTGCAGGAGGTGACCTCGTCCTTCAGCTCTTCATACTGGTCTTGCCTTCAAGGACAGAGCAGCCGGTCATGGCTGGAAGCCGGGGGCAGTGGGGGCTGGCGGCGGCTCAACGCTCAGGGCCAGGGCAGAAGCTTAGACTCTCAGGGTTGGGAGGGATTTGAGGCGGGGCTGGGAGGGGTCACCTGGTCCAACCAATCTTTTCCCAGGGAAGGTATCCCCTCTCCTGCACCATCCCTGATAAGTTGTGTCCAGGCTCAGCTTGCATACCTCCCAGGGACTGGGAACTCACTACCTCATTTAGGGCAGCAGCTCTCAGTTTTGGAAATTTGGGCCATTCTTTCTTGGACCAAGTCTAAATCTGTCCCAGTCGGTCCCAACAACCAGATGGCTGTCCCACAGGAAGGGTGCTAGGTATTTTGGGTTTCCTTCTCTCCTTTCTGTCCAATGTCCACTTTTTTGAGACAGTCTCACTCTATCCCCTAGGCTGGAATGTCATGGTGTGATCACGGCTCACTGCAGCCTCGACCTTCCCAGGCTCAGTTGATCCTCCTACCTCAGCCTTCTGAGTAGCTGGGACCAAATGCATGCAGCACCGTGCCCAGCTAACTTTCTGTATTTCCTGTAGAGATGGGGTTCTGCCATGTTGCCTAGGCTGGTTTCAAACTCCCTGACTCAAGTGATCTGCTAGCCTTGGCCTCCCAAAGTGCTGGGATTACAGGTGTAAGCCACTGTGCTTGGCCCCAACACCCACTGAATGCCTCATAAGAGCCTGTGCTGAGGGCTAGGATGAGAGCTAAATGAACCTCATCTCCTCCTCTGGTTGGACTTCTGGGAAAGCTGGTGGGATGGAGTTAGGGAAAATGCTGTGGCTTTTTAACTCCCACTGGACAAAAATGATGGATTTTGAAGTATACATAGGAGTTCACCAAATACTAATTTCCCTATCTAGATGTTCAGGTTCTGAACACGATCACTCTGTAGGCCCAGCAGGGATGTGTAGACTGAGTTATCTGCTAAATTTGCTGGAGTAGAAGTTCCTGCTGAATAAATGCTTTGCAAGCCGCCCAGCCTGGACTTGCTTGCTATTGACCCCCCACGCTGCCTCACTCCACTCCAGCCACACTGACCTTGCTATTCCTCAAACTCACCGGCTCTTCTTCCGCAGGGCCTTTGCACTGGCAGTGCCCTCTGCCTGGAGTGGCTTTTCCCCTGCTGGCGGGCTGGCTCCTTCTCACCAGAGGATGTGGCCCTTCTGCCTGCGGTCCAGTGTCCCGTTCTTTATAGCACACATTGTTATTGGAAAGTATTCTGTTTGGGTCAGGGCACAGTGTCTCATGCCTGTAATCCCAACACTTTGGGAGGCCGAGGTGGGCAGATCCCTTGAGGCCAGGAGTTCGAGACCAGCCTGGCAAACATAACAAAATCCTGTCTCTACATAAAATACAAAAATTAGCTGGGTGGGGTGATGCGCATCTCCCAACTACTTGGGAGGCTGAGGCAGGAGAATCGCTTGAACCCGGGAAGTGGAGGTTGCAGTGAGCCGAGATCATACCACTGCACTCCAGCCTGGGTGATAGAGTGAGACTTCGTCTCAAA